GAACGATTCCATCGGCTTGGCGGTGAACTGCGGCCCGTTGTCCGACACCAGGATGTCCAGAATGCCATGGGTGGTGAAAAGTCTGCGCAGAGCCCGGATGGTTGCCTCGGTGGTGATGGTGGGCATCTGGATGACTTCCAGGCATTTGGAGAATGCATCCACCATGATGAGGAAATATTTACCCACCATGGGCCCCGCAAAGTCAATGTGCACACGGGACCAGGGGGCACTAGGCCTCTCCCATTCCGTGGGTTGTGCTTGTGCTGGCGCTGGTCTGACCTCTTGGCACGGGGCGCATCTGGAGACCCATTGTTCAATGTCTTTGTCCAGGTTGGGCCACCAGACATAGCTCCTGGCCAGCGCCTTCATCTTCACAATGCCGGGTGCCCAATGTGAAGGCTTTCTAGGGTCCTCCTTTGCAGCGGTTGTGGTATCACTACTCTGTCGCCCCAGAGTAGGCAGCCCTTCATTGTTGAGAGTTCTCGCTGCTTCCTTAAGAACGGGCTGAACTCTTCGCCCACTTTTTCTGATGGCCAACCCCTCAGGACCCAGGACATGACTTGCCTGAGGGTCTTCTCCTTCTTCGTGTGAGCTGCCACATCTGTGGACGATACTGGGCACTTTAAGTCTCCATCAATGTGGAAAAGACCGAGGGTGGGTGCTGGGTCTTCCACTGGTTCTTGCATTGGGCACCTGCTGAGGGCATCCGCATTGCTGATGGTTTTGCCGGGTCTGTGTCTGAGCGTGTATGAATACCTGGCAAGGAAGATGGCCCAGCATGTCATCCTGGGCAACATGTATGTCGGTGTTTGTTTGTCGCCTGTGAATAGTCCGAGGAGGGGCTTATGGTCGGTAATGATCTCGAATGCCCTCCCATAGAGGTATTTGTGGAAGCGCTTGATGCCAGCCACGATGGCCAAGGCTTCCTTATCCAGCTGGCTGTAGTTGCGCTCAGCTGCCACCAGAGTCTTGGAGAAGAATGGAATGGGGGCTTCTGTGTTGTTGGGCAGTTGATGGCTGAGGACAGCCCCGACTCCATATGGGGACGCATCGCAGTTCAATACCAGCGGTAGCGTCTCGTGATACTGGATCAGTACGCTGTCCAAGGATAGTAGCCAATTGATGTTTCTGAACACGGTTTCTTCAGCTCTACCCCACTGCCAAGGGGCCACTTTTCCCAGAAGGCAGTGGAGTGGCTCAGCAATGGTGGCTTTCTGTTTAAGGAAAATGCTATAGAAATTTAGCAATCCCAAGAAAGCCTGAAGCTCTTGCTTGTTTTTGGGGGCCGGAGCTTCATGAATCGCCTTGACTTTAGATTTGGTGGGGTGTATGCCAGTGCTATCTATTAAATAGCCCAGGAACTCTACCTCCTGGACCCCAATGATGCATTTGTCTCTCCTCACACGCAGACCCTTCTCCTGGAACCACTTCAGGGTGAGCTTCAGCCATTCCAAGAGTTGTGATCTGGAGGTGCCGGAGATTAGTACATCATCGAAGTATGGCACCACCCCGGGAATGCCTTGGAGAAGGCGCTCCATCATAGATTGAAATATGCCAGGGGCTGCGCTGACTCCAAATTGGAGGCGGTTGCATTTAAATGCGCCCCGGTGGGTGACAATAGTCTGAGCCTCCACAGTTTTTTGGTCGACTGGCAGTTGCTGGTAAGCCTGGGCCAGGTCCAGTTTCGCGAATATGATCCCACTCCCAAGTGAATGCAACAGATGTTGCACCACTGGAACTGGGTATGCGCTCCACTGTAATGCCTGGTTAATCGTGCATTTATAATCGGCACAGATGCGCACAGACCAATCATGCTTCAGTGGGGTCACAATGGGGGTCTCCCATGCAGAATGATTGATCGGTTCCAATATGCCTTGGGCGATCAGTTTATCCAACTGATCGTCTACTTTAGGCCGAAATGCAAATGGAATCCTGTGGGGCTTGAGCCGAATTGGGGTGATTGATGTGTCTAGATTGAAAGATATGGGTTTCCCCACAAATTTACCTAGGCTGCCATCGAAGATGTCCTTGAACTCTTCAAGGAGCTTGTCGAGTTCGTCCTGCCGAATCTGGTGGATTCCTCTGATTGAGACCCCTAGCAGCTCGAACCACTCCACTCCAAGGAGGGTCGGGCAGCTGTCCTTGACGATGGTGATGGGTAAGTCGCCCTTGAACTTGTGGTAGCTGATGCTCAGCAAAGCTCTCCCCTGATCTTCTCCTGATCGGGATTGAATGAAGCCAGCGAGATTTGTGGCGCTGCCATGGCTCTCGTGCTCTCAGCTCTTAGTGACTCCAGCTCAGTGATTTGCTCTCTTGAGTCGGGCTGGGTGGCGATGGTGCCACGAGGTTCTTCGCTGTGGTTCTTGAAATCTTTCGTCGCCAGTGTTAGATCGGCGCAGGGAAAGAATACGCGAGCAGCGAGGTCTGTTCAGCACTTTAATAGTGAGAATAAGAACAGCCTGCTGCGCTGCCGGGCTCACCTTATAAAGGGAGCTGGCAGGCAAGCCGGCGAATGACAGAATTTTAAAACTCCCACCGGTGGACTAGCCAATCCGGCAGCATGACCATATATGGACATAACACCTGGTCTAGGACAACTCACTGTGGCCAACTTGCCTTGACTATCTTGCAGTGGCCAACTCATCGAGGGACAAGAGTTACACTAATATTAAAGAAATGGTGGAACAGAATCATTAAAGAAAGAATGAAAAAGGAAGAAAGAATGAAATGGGAATGACAAAAATTAAAACAACGTTTTAATTATTTTAAATGATTAAATTGAATTGTTGAATTGTCTCATGAGCTGGCTGTGGCGAGTTGACTCATTCTGGCCACGATGCCCCCATTAATGCTCATACTATCTGAATAAATGATGTCATAGGCCAAATGCCATCTTGGTTGCTTCATATGTAGGTCACAGGCCCAACTTCCTCTTGACTTGCAGGTTCCTTTGAGACACAAACATGTTTTCCCCTTTCTGGTGTATGAAGAGAAACGATGGAAACTTGCTTTTCCTTGCAATTATCAGAAGAACAGTAATTCTTCATGTGCCGCCCGCCCTCTGCCCCCTGTGGATTTCTACCTAGAAAAATCTTTCCAAGATAAAATCTGTTTCAAAGAGCATGTTCTGACTTCTCCAGGTGTGGCAAAAATAACACCTTTCCTTGTCTTGCAAAGAACTAACTCCTCCGTTTGCTGGCCCAGGTTTTCTCTTCGGTCACAGCCCAAACACAGGTAAGTGGTTGATATAAATATGCCCTGCTGAGGCCATCCAGGTGGCATGACCTCTCTCTATTGTGCTAAAGCTGTGGTGAGATTTCAAGGGCTCCCTGCCATTCAGCTTCTGCACAAACCTTGATTTCTGATCTAGGAGGGAAGGTGAGAAGAAGAATGACTGGGCTGCCTCTCCTTCTGCTGCTGCTGCTCTTCTGGCTCCTGCCTCCAACTTCTGCTAAGAGGAAGCAAAGTGTATGTGTGTTGACAAACCCTTTCCAGACTCCGGAACAATGGGACTATTACAGGTCTGGTGACTTCATCATTGGTGGGAATTTGAACCTGCAGACCTTTGATCCCTTCAATTTTCAAGACTATGAAAACACCTTATTCTCACGTCTTTTTGGAAAGGAGTAAGTTTCACCTGGAAAGAAGTAGATCGTTATTTGCTTTGTTTGGGGCTCAGGGACCCCTCTAGGAAGCCCTTCCTCTAGAGAGGTTTGCAATTTCCCAGTGTAGTTGAGATCTTTCTACTTTTCTCAGTAAAAAGCCAAATTCATAAAATAGGCTAGAATTCCCAACCTTTCCAGAACTCTTCCCCAGGAAGAGGAGAACATAAGATATAAAGGAGGAAAACGCCTGAGATCTTGTGTTGGTCTAATTCAGTAGTTGACTTATAATATTAACCTGGACTGAAAGTCGTGCTGGAAAGCTCAAGGAGAAGCTCACAGCTTTTCCAGGGTGGGGTATTGTAAAAATGATAAAACTCAGTGTTGGAATCAGCAGAGCTGATGAAGAATGGCTTTCAGGACGTCTGTGCAGCCTTGTGCTCAGCAATGGTTAGCAGACCTGAAGACGCTGCTCCAAGAGAGGCTCAGATTGAGTAGGGTGGAAAAGGAGCAACTGGGAAGGATGAGAGCCACTGGAGCAGAGTGAAGAAGGGAGGGAGGACAGAAGGGCATAACATGGTCCGGGATTTGGATGGAGAGACGTTTCTGCTGTCTTATAAAACTATCAATTTTTTTAATCAAGCAAGATCCTTAATAAACAAGCCTTATGAACGTGGGACTTGCTGCTCCATAGAACACACACACACACACACACACACACACACACACACACACGACAAGACAAACCCCACCAACCACACACAAGCTGACATGTAATGTTCTCCAATTTTTATGTATTCTGTTGTTTATCTATTCTATTCTATTCCATATCCTGTTCTGTTCTGTTCCGTTCTGTTCCGTTCCGTTCCACTCCATTAAGAGAGGTTTTTTCTCACAATAGCATCATCAGCAAGAACTACCAGCAGTTCCTGGCTTTGATGTTTGCAGTCAGAGAGGTCAACAAGGATCCGGTTCTCCTGCTCAACATCACCCTTGGCTTCCACATCTACGACAATCACAAGTTGGAGAGGAGGATTTTCTTATTCAGCCTCTCCCTGCTCTCCACACGAGGACAAATGGTCCCAGGTTACAAATGTGACCAGCGGGAGCCTCTGCTCTCTGTCATTGGAGGTCTCAACTCCAGATCCTCAAGGCTGATGGCCTCCATCTTCAGCATCTTCAAGGTCTCGCAAGTAAGGGTTAGTTGGAGGCAGTATGGGGTAGACAAACAAGAGAAGCACATAGTGTCCATGGAGAGTCTCAATGCAGGTCATGGTTGTCCCAAAGGTACTTTTCAAAAAGTAACTAGAATTTCTTGGTTTTTTCCTTGAATATGTTTGACTTCTCATCCAAGAAGCCACAAGTTCTGAGGGCTTCCTTGATGTGCTTTAGGAATCAAGGAAGCCCACACAGCTTGTGGCTATCTTGAAACTCAGAAAAAGAACCAGTAGGAGCTTCTCCATAACAGACAAAGATGAGAACAATAAACAGAGTGTCAACTTGCAAAGCTTTCAAGTTGCCATGAGCAGGAGGGAGGGAGAACTGAAGTGAATTCCATACATTCTTTCTCACCGAAATCAGAAGGAGGGTGTTAGGTTTCACAGCCAGCCAAAGTGGTTAATTGGAGAATGTGATTTATGACATGGCCAGAGAGGAGGGGAGAGACAGGGTCATAGGGGAACGTAAATCTACGTAGGATCAGTCCTGACTGCATCTGAGTATTGCCGGAATGGTGCTCCCAATAAATGAATATATTTCCTTTGAAGTTTGGATCATGGCTCATGAATTAATTAGGGCATCTTTCGGAAACTTGACACAGAGCATGTTACCATTCCATACAAAAATATCTGAAAAACTCAGGAGGATTTTCAACCAACACAAGATACATGCACACCTTAAACCCAATAATACATTAAGGCAGAAACTTATTGTGGAGTTGGGATCGTAGAAACACCCAGGAGCATAGAAGAGTTCAGAGGCAGATGCATAAATAAATGTCTTAAACGTATTTATTCATATGATAAATCATATTAACTATGTACAACAGAGATCAAGTCTCATGAGGAACAAACATGAAAAGAGAGAGATGAAGAGAGTGAGGTGGAAAAGGTTGGAGGGGGTTTTATATTCAGGGTAAGCCTCTCCTTTCCACACAGGGGTGGAGACACTCTCTGCCTCCACTGGTGTATATATGACACATGTGCCAATGGCTTGCAAATACTTGACACTTATCCACCTCAAGAATACAAGACACAAATTGAGCAATTTGGTATATGCAGTAGAATGCAGTAGAGACATGTGCTGATCTGTATATTGGAGAAACAAAACAACCACTTCACAAACACATGGCACAACATAGGAGAACAAACCCATCAGGACAGGGTTAAGCAGTCTATCTGCATTTGAAAGGCAAAGCTCACTGCTTTTGAAGACAGCAAAGTCCACATTATGGACAGAGAAGACTGCTGATTTGAAAGAGGAGTCAAAGAGGTCATCTACTTTAAAATTGAGCAGCCCTCTTTCAACAGAGGGGGAGGGATATGACACCACCCATCTCCTGTTCACAACACAGTCCTTTCAGCAGTTCCAATAAGGTTGGTTCCACATCTATTTGCACTGTTAAGATAATGCTGAGAGTACAGATAAATCTCCCAGTGGCCTCAATGACTCTCAGAAAGAGTGCTAATGACCAGATGACTGCAAAGAATATAACCTCTCCCATTCTCCACCATTCAGTCAGAACTGAGGAAGCTTCTTGGATGAGAAGCAAAAGGTTTTCATTTAAGGAAAAAACCAAGAAAATCCAGTTGCCTTTTGGAAAAAGCACCTTTGGGATAAGAGTAGCACACACAGGAGCTAAATGTGGTTTGAGGGTAGGACACATCCGGAGTACATGACTTAAAGAATCCATGATGTAGTTGACTTGATTTTTATATTTTGTGTGTTAAGATAAGTTTTAATCTAACTCCAAGAAATAGAGAATGGAATAATTCTGAACGCTAAACTTTCCAGGAGTGGTTCCATCCTAACCTATTCTTCATAAAAGTGTAGCTACCTTTTCCATACAGTTTATTCATTTTATCAGGTGGAAGGTTTGTTCTCCTATCTGACATGTCACAGCCAGGCAAAATATGTTACAGTAGTGGCCAAAATTGTGGAAACCTTTTGGGAAAACTATATTTTCTAAAACTAGCTAATAACACCACTTTTTTTTTTTTGGAGTAGTACCATAAAATTATATATCAATGGAAAGATAATTTCATCAAGAATGTAATGCAATAACTTTTATGAGGGATTTGCTATTAGAATAGCAGTTACAGTATAAAGAAGAAAAGTGAAATGCGTAGAAAAAACGAGATATATACAAAAATGATCACCATGTCAGTTAATACTTAATTGGGTGACCTTTAGCATGAATGAAAGCCTTACAATGTCTTTTCATGGAGTGAACCAAGTCTTTTAATTCTACGGCTGTGAAACCAGGATTGAAGGATGGCTTCTATTAACTGGGTTTATTGCTGGGTTGCTTCTGACTAACAAGTTTCTAGAGTCGGCTCCATAGATTTTCAATTGGGTTAAGAAGGTCAGGGCTATTCCCAGGCCATTCCAGCAGTGGAATAGGATTATCTTGAAACTCCCAAAAAAAGTGGTGTTATTAGCCATCAAATCTCAAAAATACACTTTCCCCAAAAGGTTTCCATAATTTTGGCCACTCCTGTAACTGGTGGCTCTTCCTAAGAAGGGAAGAAGCTTAAGGTTGCTACTCAAAGTGAGTCGGGTTGATTGGTGGGACAAGAAACGAAGAAAGCAAAGACCATAAATTCTTACGTTGAATCTCATTTTCTCCAGCTCGGTGTTGGCTTTGAGGTCTCTCAAAGAGACAGAAGAGTTTATCCTTCCTTCTTCCGGATAAATCCCAAGGAATTTCCTCAGTATGAGGGTTTAGTCCAGCTGTTCCTGTATTTCCAGTGGAACTGGGTTGGGCTGGTGGCCCCTGAAGATGACATTGGAGAACATTTCATCTCAATTTTGATGCCGATCCTGAAGGAGAAGGAGATCTGCCTGGCCTTCAGCAACCTGTTCATTTCTGATAACATTGCAAAGTTGGATTTAAACTCCCTTCTCAAAATCTTATTGAAAGCTGAAGTGGTTATTCTCTTTGGAGACTTTAGAAATGTTTCATTTTTCCTGAGCCATTTGTATGATGATTTACTCTCTAGAAAGTCCCCGTTTTGGAAAGTTTGGCTAATAACTTCCCATTGGACATTTGGTGCGATAAGATATCCATACAGTTTGAGAGTTTTAAAGCTCTTGCATGGAGCTTTGCATTTTAGAGACCACGCCGGGGACGTCCCCGAATTCAGCCGTTTCCTCCTGTCTTTAGACCCTTTGAAGCCCCAAGGGGACGTCTTTCTCCCACTATGGTGGCAAAGGGTCTTTAACTGCAGGTTCCATAAACCAACTAGGTCCTACAAACAATGCACAGGAAAGGAGAATTTACAGAATCTGCCATCTTACGTGTTTGAAACAAGCATGACGGGTGAAAGTTACAACATCTACAATGCTGTTTATGCTGTGGCACATGCGTTACATGCAATGCATGGATCAGGAATGCGACCAGCCATGATGAGGCTTGGAAAGAGGATCTCCAATGTCCCGTCATGGCAGGTAATCCCTGGCACTTTTTAATCCAATCCACAGAGAGGAAACTTCCCATAAGTATTTCTTGAGTTACGAATGAAATATCTGCATGCTATTTATTTGCTGCCTATTTCGCCATGGGCCTACTCTAGGTGACTTACTACAATAAAAATGAAGAAACGAAAAGAGTGTAAGCAAAACAGAAGTAGAATAATAAAACAATAAAATAAATAATGAGAACAAAATACAGTACAAGAATACAACAACATGATGACCGAACAGTTGGATGGGTGGACAGTAGCGAGCAAGGGAGGGGGAATAGGAGTCTGTCCATCAATCCAGCAGCCCCCCTCCAGCATGGAAGTGCCCCATTGAGTCCGGTCTTCAGCTACCTACGGAAGGGAAGGATGGTGGGGGGAGATCTTAGCTGAGAAAGTGGGATGTTCCGAAGAGAGGATGCAGTAGGATCTAGGGTAGGGATGGCTAACCTTTTCTGGATGGAGTGCCAAAAGCATGCATGAACCCCCCAAATGCGATGCACGTTCACTCCTGCACATGCACTAATGACCCCCTGCATGGCCCTCACCCCTGTGTGTGCATGACCCATGCATGTGCCCCAACCCTGTGCATGCACACATGATGTCCTGCACATGCCCCACCCACGCATGTGTGTGCACCCCCCGCATGTGCCCCACCCCTGCGCATGCTCAGCAGAGACCCGACAACCATGCGTGAACTGGGGCGATGTCTTGCATGCCCACAGAGAGGGTACTTCATGCCACCTGCGGCACGTGTGCCATAGGTTTGCCATCAAACTCACCACATCACGTTGCCATCACATGACGTATCATGATGATTTTCCCTTGACGGAGCTGGGGTGGGCGTGGCCTGCATGTGACGCATCCGGCCCGTGGGCCACCAGTTTGACACCTCTGGCCTAGGGTCACCGCAGCCGACTCACCACGGGAGAACCCTGCAGGACCAACTTGCTGTGGCCAACTCATGTCTGCACCCAGTTCACCACAGGTCTCCCGCTGCAGCCGATGCATCCTGGGTGTTTATCCTCAGCTGGCCCTCTGCTGGCATTCCCCACCTCACTGGTCAACCGCCAGTAGCGATGGAGGCGGGTGGTTTGGAGAACTGGTAGCAAAAATCCCTGCCCCCTCCCCATACCTAGCTGAGCCGCACAATCATCAGAGGCTTTTTTTAAACTTTTAAAAGCATTTTTTAGGCTTAGGCCCAGGGTATTTGGTGGACCATCTGTGGCCAGTGACAGCTCCCCATCGCCCGGTGTGTTCCCACAGGGAGGGCCTCCTTGGGGTGCCGTCAGCCAGATAATGTTGGCTGGTGACCTCTAGGGAGCGGGCCTTCTCTGTGGGCGCACCTACCGTGTGGAATCAGCTTCCCCTGGAGCTCCGGGTGGCCCCTAACCTTCGCTCTTTCCGCCGTGACCTTAAAACATGGTTATTTTGCCTAGCTGGTTTGGACTGAAGGGGTTTTAAAGGGGATTTTAATGGTCTTTTATAATCCTATTGGGTATTTTAATATTGTTTTTGCTTGTTTTTATTGTTGTGAGCTGCCCTAAGTCCTTCGGGGATAGGGCGGCATACAAGTTTAAATAATAAATAAACAAATAAACAAATAAACAAACAAACAAACAAACAAACAAATAAATAAATAAAATGTTTGTACAACCTCTTTGGCCAAAAAAATGTTTTTAAAAGTTAAAAAAAAAAGCCTCTGATGATCGCGTGGCTCAGCTGGGATCCTCAAAGGCTTTTAAAAGCATTTTTCCTACAACCTCTTTAGAGGTTGTAGAAAAAATGCTTTCAAAAGGCTCTGACGATCCAAGCTGAGTTGCCTGATCGTCAGAGGCTATTTTTCTTTTAAATGCCTCTGATGATCCTGATCGTCAGAGTGTCGAGACCGCCCCTCGACAATACAACCCACAGCGGCACGCAGGAAAGCCCTGATTGACAGCCACCAGCAATAAAGAACTTTAGGGGTTGATTGGGGGTGTTTGGGGACTCACAGACACATTGGTGGTGGGGGTGTTTGTTATCCTAGGCGGTCGGTCACGTAGCGGCCGGCATAGGGAGACTCGTCGATTGACACCTTCCCTCCGTTGGAATTGAGGGACGAGCCGTTTCGCGCATGCGCCAGGAACGCTGTACCCGGAAGGGCGTGGGTGCGGCTGGTGCGGGGATTTAAAAGGGTGTGGGAGGCAGACGCTCCCAACGCCGACTTTGTGCTAATTGCATGTGTACTGCTTGGTTTCGCCGGAGCTGCTTGACCGAATTAAACTGCTGAAGCATCTAACCGCTGTCTGTAGCGTTTTCTTCCTGGTTTGGCCAGGCTCACGGCGTCAAGTCTGACAGAAAGTCGGCGTTGCTCTTACCCCGGTTTGACCGGTAATGGAATCGGTATGGCGGAAGGTACGGAGGCCGGTGCACCGGGGCTGGAGGAGGCGTCCGTAGGGGACACCGTAGTGGAGGCGGTCCAGACGACGGAGCTGCAGGTGGTGCGTCCCAAAGAAAAGTTACCACTGCTGCAAGAGACCCTCTCCACGGACGCGGGGCCAGCCGGCGCTAGCGATGGAAAGCCCGCTGTGGGGGAGTGGTGGCAGAGTTCAGCTATCGCTGGGACTAAGCAGCTGACCCCTCAGTCGAGCGAACCATCGTTCCAGGGGTGGAGGGAGCGGCGTTGGATGGAGGAGGAAGAGTGTGATTGGAGTTACTCCACGGGGGTGGGAGCTTCCACCCTGGACGTGCTACGCGAGACATTTGGAGAAGCAAGCTTCAGAGACACCCCATCTTGGCAGCCATGGGCGCCAAGTCAGGACGTCTGGCAGGGGGACACCCGAAGCAGTACAGAGACCCGGTTCCATCTCGCCAGCCCGAAGCTTCGCATCGAGAGAGGAGTGAATCGCCCTGGACAGCGGGAGCCTCCCCCTTCAGAGTCGGCTCCATCATCATGGGGGGGCCCTTTGCGTGGGCAGGACCGGGCGGCCCTGCGTCGCCATGGGGCCCCACCTATGGGTCCCTCGGCCCTCCGCGACCGTTCTGGGCCGCCTGCAGGCGGGGTGGGTACCGTCCAGGATACTCGGGTGGCAGGCCCGCCTCCTTTGTGGGTGCCTGGGCAGGGCCAGCCGCAACAACACCTTTGGGGCCCTCCCCCTATACAGGCAACCTTCGATGGTAGTGCAGACAGAGTGTCTTTATTTCTCAGTCAAATTTTGAGTTATATGGACCTCTACGGCCATCTATACCCGTCACAGTGGGCGGTTGTGGTTGCCATTACCACTGTTCTCACAGGTGAGGCAGCAGACTGGGTTGCTGACCTTCACAGTGATCATGCAAAAGAACTGGCAAACGTAGGGTTGTTCCTAGAGGCATTACGCTCCCGGTTCGAGGACCAATCAAGGACACAGCTTTTGGAAGGGGAGCTAGTAGCCCTAAGGCAAGGCGGGCGTCCTGCCAGGCAATACGTTAAGGACTTCCGTACAGTAGCCAGCCACCTACGGTCCTGGCCTGAACGGCTCTTAGTGCACCAGTTTCGGATGGGCCTGGATAGGGAGCTAAGACAGGACTGTGTTTATAGGGGCCTACCACCAAAGCTGTTGGAGTGGTTCAGTGCTGCAGTAGATCTACCGTATTTTCCGGCGTATAAGACGACTTTTTAACACATGAAAATCTTCTCAAAAGTCGGGGGTCGTCTTATACGCCGGGTGTCGTTCTCCTGTAACCAGGCAGACCAGCCCGAAAGGCTCTGACGAGCCTTAAATGGCTCTGGCGATCCCAGCTCTGATGATCCCAGCTTTGCCTGCTAATCAGGCAATTCAGCTGGGATCGCCAGAGCCATGGAGAAGAGAAAAACTTTTCCCCCTCCAGCTTGCTTACCTTAGCTCAGTGGTTGGGGGTCAAACAACCCTTTCACAGGGGTTTTGATGGTGGTGCAATACAGAAAAACGAGCGCAGCCCTCGCCATCCGGAATGAATGGTGCTGTTGTGGCGGTGGGGGAGGGGGCGGCAGAAGCGGGAAGAAGCGGCGTTTGCGATGGCTGGAAGCTGTGGGAGTGAAGCACTACTTTCATTTGTACGGCAGTAGCATTCCGCCTTGGTATATTTGTGTCAGGAGTGGCGCAAGGCAGCCTTTGTTTCCTGCTGCCTGGGACTCAGAGTGGTAAATGGCATCTGATCCGGAGAGCTGCTGGATTTTGCTCTCTAATCCGGATGCCAAATCGGCCCCCTGCAAACTCTCGTCTCTCGAGGAGCGCTCCCTGAAGCGGGGCTGGAACTTTGGTTGGACTGCTTGAGAGAGGAGAGCTTGCAGGGGGGCGATCTGGTGTCTGCAATGGAGAGCAAAATCCAGCTTTTTCTCTCCGCTGTAAGAGCGCTGTAAGAGCGGCAGCCCTCATCTCCTAATGCTTGGGACTCGGAGCGGTAAATGGCGTCTGATCCGGAAAGCTGCTGGATTTTGCTCTCTAATCTGGATGCCAGATCGGCTCCCTGCAAACTCTCGTCTCTTGAGGAGCGCTCCCTGAAGCGGGGCTGGGAACTTTGGTTGGACTGCTTGAGAGAGGAGAGCTTGCAGGGGGCGATCTGGTGTCTGCAATGGAGAGCAAAATCCAGCTTTTTCTCTCCGCTATAAGAGCGGCATCCGGCTTTTTCTCTCCGCTGTAAGAGCGGCAGCCCTCATCTCCTAATGCTTGGGACTCGGAGTGGTAAATGGTGACTGGTCCGGGGAGCAGCTGGATTTTGCAGTCCCAAGCATTAGGAGATGAGGGCTGCCGCTCTTACAGCACTCTTACAGTGGAGAGAAAAAGCCGGATGCTGCTCTCCATTGCAGACACCAGATCGCCCCCCTGCAAGCTCTCCTCTCTCAAGCAGTCCAACCAAAGTTTCCAGCCCGCTTCAGGGAGCGCTCCTCGAGAGACGAGAGTTTGCAGGGGGCCGATCTGGCATCCAGATTAGAGAGCAAAATCCAGCTGCTCTCCGGATCAGATGCTATTTACCGCTCTGAGACCCAGGCAGCAGGAAACAAAAGCTGCCTTGCGCCGCAAATATAGCAAGGCAGAATCCTGATGCTGCACTTTCAGCAGACAGATGAGGGCTGCCTTGGCCATCGGCTGGCGCAAATATACCAAGGCGAATGCTCATGCCGCACAAGTTCAAGTAGTGCTTCGCTCCCACACTTCTTCCGGCCCTCAGTCTCTCAGGGAGATGCTTGACTTCCTCTCAGCCCCAAGACACTGGCTGGCCCATGAGATGAGAGAGAGAGAGAATGAGAGAGAAAGAGAGAGAATCAGAATGAGACAGAGAGAGAAGAGACAAAGAATGAAAGAGAGAATGAGAGAGAGAGAATCAGAGTGAGACAGAGAGAGAAAGAGAGAGAAAGACAGAATGAAAGAGAATGAGAGAAAGAGACAGAGAATCAGAGAGAGAGAGTGAGAGAGAGAATGAGAGACAGAGAAAGAGACAGAATGAAAGAGAATCAAAGAATCAGAGAGAGAATGAGAGAGAATAAGAGTGAAACAGAGAGAAAGAGAAAGACAGAATGAAAGAGAATGAGAGAAAGAGACAGAGAATCAGAGAGAGAGAGAGAGAATGAGAGACAGAGAAAGAGACAGAATGAAAGAATCAAAGAATCTGAGAGAGAATGGGAGAGAGAGAGAGAAAATGAAAGAGAATCAGAATGAGAGAATCAGAATGAGAGGGAGAGAGTGGGGAGAGAGAGAGAAAGGGGGAGAGAGAAAGAGAATGAGAGAGAAAGAGTGGGAGAGAGAGAAAGAGAAAGAGGGGGAGGGAGAAAGAGAGAAAGAGTGGGGGGAGAGAGAAAGGGGGACAGAGAAAGAGAATGAGAGAGAGTGAGGAGAGAGAGAAAGAGGGGGAGAGAGAAAGAGAGAAAGAGAGTGGGAGAAAGAGAGAGAGAAAGAGGGGGGAGAGAAAGAGAATGAGAGGGGGGAGAGAAAGAGAAAGAGTGGGGGAAAGAAAGAATGAGAAAGAGAGGGAGAGAGAAAGAGAATGAGAGAGGGGGAGAGAGAAAGAGAGAATGAGAAAGAGTGGGAGAGAAAGAAAGAGAGGGAGAGAGAGAGAGAGAGAGAGAAAGTGAAAATGAGAGAGAGAGAAAGAGAATGAGAGAGAAAGAGTGGGAGACAGAGAGAGAGAGACAGACAGGAGGGAGAGTGCCTGAAGGACCCCATCCCATACTGGGAGTCCAGGTGCTTCAGCAAGCGGTGCACTGGATTCGTATTAGTGGTCGCGAAATTTAAAATTATGAAGTTGGTGGTCCCTGAGGTCCAAAAGGTTGGGGACCTCTGGCCTAAGACCATCGGAAAACACATATTTTTAATGGTTTTAGGAATAACTTTATCGTTGGGGGTCACCACAACATGAGGAACTGTATTAAAGGGTCGCGGCATTAGGAAGGTTGAGAACCACTGCCTTAGCTGCTTGCCTTGCTTCGCTTGCCTGAATCCATTCCATCAGCAAGCAACTCCCTGCCTGCAACCAAGCAGGCAGGGAGTTGTGGACTTCAACTCCCAGAATTCCTCAGCCAGCAAAACAAAGCTGGCTGAGGAATTTTGGGAGTTGAAGTCTACAAGTCTTAAAGTTGCCAAGGTTGGAGACCCCTGTTCTATTGGGTATGGTAAGTTTTTTTCCCCTTTGGGATCTTTAAAAAAAAATAGTTAATTGGGTTTTTTTTAGTTCTTTTTTAGACCTAGCCATTTAAAGTTTAGGAAGTTTTAAATTTAGCT